TGAGATCAAACAGCATTCAAAACAACAACAGGAAGGCCTTAGCCACTTGATTAGCATTATAAAAGATGATCTAGAAGATATAAAGTTGGTAGAACATGGATTGAATGAAACCATCCACGTCAGAGGTGGTATCTTTAGTTGACAGTTTACAAACCTGTGTTATAAGTTTGTGAAATGTATCCTCTTACTGCATTGGGCCTTCCTTAAGAATGAAATGAGCACATGGAGAAAAAAGAAAGAAAATGATCCTCTCCTGGCTTGGATTTTTCAGATTACTGACAAATTACTCTTCACTAAATCTGAAATAAACGAGTCTTTTCACATCCCTTCTAAAATAACCTTGAAAAGATTTAACATCTAAAGAGCTATATATACTTTAAAAGAAGTACCTAATTAACATTTTTAAAACAGCGTTTTCTTAAACATCACAGTATTATTCTCCATTCTGCTTTCTATGGCAAGTAAATATGAAATATATAGTTTACATATGACTGTATAATTACTTGACTGTTGAAGATTTGAGATTCAGAATGTAAAGGATATCAGTTTTTATATACGTGAATTCAACTTGGGAGGAGTAAAGCAAATCCAAAAGTATTTAATTATTAATGTGGTTTTCTTTTTGTTCTGTGAGATTTGAAAATTAATTTTTTATTATTTGACTTATGTGGAGTTTATAGAACAATTCTAAGCAATTAGGATATAACAGAATTACTGGTTTTGGAAACTTTTGTTTTTTAAACCTTTATTTCTAAAAATGAAAACTTTTAAAATAAATTCTTAATTTGTAATTTAAAAAAAAAACAGGTCACTTTTGACTTTAGCTCTTTATAAAAACAATGAAGAAGGTCTTCAGTAAGTGTGTACTGGATCACACCTAGATAGAGGGAGAAACTTACATTTCATAGCTTTTTAGCAGTTCAAGTTCTGCTCGCTCACAAGAAATTATCAATAAAATATTTTAAAGATGCAGAACTTCACTGAATAATCATATGACATTGATATATATATAAAATCAGCAATATGTGTATACCAATGTATACATATGCATGTATATCCTTTTACCATGATTATATATTTGCTAATTTTTTTTTTTTTGGTACCGGGAATTGAACTCAGGTTCTTGCGCTTGCAAGGCAGGTGGCAGAACCACTGAGCTAAATTCCCAGCCCTATATTTGCTAATTTTAACTTCAGCTAGTGGAGGGAATCAAGTCCAATCATACTTGAAACCTTTGGGAAGAATGCAATCTTTTAAATTCAAAAATAAATATTCTAAAGATAATGGGTCAAGAGGCCACCAAAAAAAAAAATTCCAATGGACACATTCCATGTGTGAGATTGTCTTCCACTACAAAATCAGACTATGCTTAGTACCTCTATGTTCACACCTCTACATCTTAGAGATAAAGTAAAAACCTTCCCTTCTGTCATTCAAAGCTCCGTGCAGTCTTCTCTCCCAGAGATCCAGTGTGTAAGCATTGCACCTCATGAGGACACATCTAATTTTGCCTCCAACACATTTACTCCCAATGGGATCTTTACTCATATGCTTCCATGTGACTACCTCAATACACAAATAGTATGGAATAATGATGGCAGAAACATATTTTTGTCTGAGCACTGCAGTTTCCATGTCAATCTGACAGCAACGTGTAGCTCTCAGAGGCCAAAGGGCAAAGGCTCAGTCAGAAAAGTACTCAGACAAAATTATGCCAAAAACAAATTCCATTTTGGTACCCTCAATGAGTGCTGAAGAAGGATGGTCATCATGTGAAGGGCCACCCTGTTCAATCAAAGAATACACTTGCTTATTGTGACAAATTTCTGACAACATTAGAAAGGTTAGGAAGGGGAGTTCCCAGTGATAAGTGCTGAAATGCTTCAGTTTATTTCCACCAAAGCATCTTGGAAACAGTAGCGAGGAGCATAAGGCACACAAAGATATTTCTTCCTATTTCAAGGTTTTACATTTTAAAATTCACAAATTGTACTCTCACGTCCATAGAATATGAAATTATCTAAGGAAAATTGGTCCTTAAGCAGATATTTAATCAGAGGGTTTACGTATCTCATGGCAAAAAATCACATATCCTGTTTGAAAAACAAACGTAAGGAGACCATGCCCACCCCAAACTCAGTTGATGTAGCACATTATTTTTAATAATCCCTAAAGATCAATTTATCATAATTATCAATGAAACCTCCAGGCAAAAAGGGAAACTCCCTAAGGACAACATGGAAAATCACAAGCTCACTTGAAGAGAGACCTGATGCTTCTCAAGACTGACTAATATAAGGGAGGCATAAACTGGACTGACGCATTATCTCTACAGAATAAGTAACAGATCACTAGACCCTTAGGGTACAAGAGAAGGGAAACTGGCCATGCATGAAACTCTAACACAGAACCTCCACATTAAAACTAGGGAGAGATCTTTGTGACCTCTGTCTGCACTGCCTCCAAGATGAGCTAGGAAGCCTTCATGGTGTTTCAGGATGTCTTCTCTGAGGGACAGTGCTATTATTGTACATGACAGGTGGACCTGCTCACCTCTACATTTGTTCATTCAGTATGGCCAAGAGGTGGAGGGTCAAAGATAAATTTCTCTTTCAGCTGAAGAACCAAAAGAAAAATGAAATTTCACAGAGAATTTAAATTACCATGGAATTGATATGCTCCAAAATCAACTGACTAAATATTAACAAAATCATTCACAGATATTCCCCTTCTCAGAAGCTGGCTCAGGAACCCAGAAAGGGAGAACTTAAGTAAAACAATGTGGAAATAGCTCTATCTGCAAAGACTGAAACAAATACAAAATTAGTGTTTTCTTGTTTTTTTTTGTTTGAGTGATTGTTTCGGCTTTGGTTGTTTGTTTCATTTGTTCTCTTCTTCTACCCTCTGTATCCATTCCATTATTCATCTGCACCTGTAGGAGAGGTAGCAAAAAAGAGGAAATTATAAAATCACAGCAGTGTGTATGAAAACTAAGATTCCCCATAATGTTTAATGAAGACTGCATTGGGAGCTGCTTCT